TATTATATTATAAATATAAATATATTATTAATATATTATTATAATATATAAATATATTAAGAATATAATATATTCAACAACCTTTCCAGTACGAACGGTACTTTCTGTCTTCTCAACGTGTTTGAAATTTACTTCAGTTCAGTGAGATGTTCTGTTAGCCATCAGCTGCTCAAGATTCTCATGAATACCCACCAGAACAAAATAGGCACAAAGGCAGTGATGACTGTACCTGAAAACATCAATATCAAAGAACTAAAAATACATCTGGACTGTATACACACATATATGAAAAGGAAAAGCCCTTGCTGTATGGCAACCAATGATCCCACGCCTCTAGCCTTCACCAATATAGAGGGACGGTGCTTCACAGAGTCAAGGTTATTTCAGACACCACACGTCCAGCTACCAGTAGACAATATTATAGAAATAAAAGAATGAGTCCAAAATTATGTCCTCTTGTTTTCAAAAAATGTAATATTGAAGACAATAATTTCAAAATCAAAGACAGCACAGTGTCCTGGTTTGGCTGGGATAGAATCGCAGCCCAGCCATGCTCAGCAGGCTGTTAGCAGTTTCAGGGCAGCTGGCCTGAGTTACCTGCAGGTAACCCATACCATAATGTCATGATCATTATAAAGGGGGAAGGTCTGCTGAGGAAGGGGGAGTTTCTGTGGGGTTCCTGCTGGGGTTCTGCTCCTCCTCTGGCTTCTCCCTCCCTGCTCCTCCTTGAGGACTGCTCGCCTGTTGATTGTGACTGCTGCGTGTTCATTTGGCTGAGTATAACTTTGTATGTCTTTGTTGGTATTGGTGCTATTCCATTAAATCTGTTTTCACTTCAACCCATGGGTCGCCTCTCTTTTTCCTGATTCCCCTCCCGGGCTGGTGAGGGGTTGGATATGGGCTAAACGTAGTCACACTGACAGACCTAAATCACACTTAAGAGTGCAGTTATAAGAAAGCACTTTGTAGCTCAGTTTTTCTTGATTTTCACTGTGTTTATAAGGGGACTTTTGAAACTGATTTTGGGTCCAAAAATTAGTTTAGGCAGAAAGTTAATGGGTTTGTTACTGGAACACCTGCATCTAGTCCAAAGAGAATGAAAAGGGATCTCAAGACGCTTGAAGTCAATCCCTAAGAAATTGCCACGTATTGGGGGTGAAAAAAAAAACAACCCAAACCAAAAAAACCCCTAATATTTGACCTGTCATAATTATATTGCTATAGCCTCTTGTGCTGCGCTGTGGCAATCAGCAAAGCAGAAACTTCAGTGCGAATTGCAAGCTGTCAATTTAAGTTCGGAGCTAGCACAAGACTCCTGTGACAGACTAATTGCTAGCCACCTCAGAGCCAAGAAGTCTGACACACAAGCCTTCACAGAAAGTAAGACAACATGACTGATATCTTTGAAGGATTTGTCAAAATTATTCTTACAACCATTTTTAAAGATCTCAGATTTCTTACTGAAAAATATGTATAACATTACCATAAATAATCTGTTGGTAAGGCATAGTACAGTGTGCCCTCAGATGTTGTCTACTTGGTAAACAGTGCTTAACAGACCTTTAATTTTTATCACATTCAAGAAATTTTCTATTATATTTAAGAAGCATCATGTAACGAATCACATGGAAATATCATACCTCCAAGTTGCTGAGATGCTGTTTTTCAAGGAGATGTTGTATGTCTTTCAGCTTTTTCTGGAAGAGAAGTTTGTTACTATCCACGTTTGTTCTACTGCTCTCTTGTATTGTTTTATCCCAGCCAACCATTGCTGACATCTGCTTCTGACGGAAAGAATCGCTTCTAGGTGCTGATGAGGATGAAGCGTCATCTGTGGTTCTTGACGCAAGCAAAGAACTTGTTACTTTGGCTTATTTCTATGTGTCAACTGTACACTTTTACACATGTTTCTTTCCAAAAGTATACATCATCAATAAATGCCTGGCCAGTGAAAGACAGCTATACTATATGCAACTATAGGTGATGCTGTTAGTACTACCTAAAACTGTCCAACACTTCTCATTTTAAACCTTCTCTTCTGTTATTTATAAATAGCCAGACTTTTCTGATTGGTTTGTTGGGTGACTGCCTCAGGCTGAATTAATCTGGAAAATGTCAGCCAACAGTTTGGTCATTTACAGTAATGGAACATGGAACACTTTTATTTTTTTTTAAAAACCAACCAAATAAGCAAAATGGCCTTTATTTTTCCATAAGGTTGGCTTACATTGAGGATAACTATATACTGATGCTGTCAGATATTCCCTTACTTCAAATAGCAAGAAGGCTTTGTAGTATCTAGAGATCCCAACTCCATTGATGATGTGTAATGTCAGTAATGTGGTACACTAAAGAATTTGTATTATATACCCGAAAAAAAATAAATCTTTGGAGTAGCTAGTGTAGCTGGGTACTGGGGCCAGGGTAAGCCCAAATTAAGATAGAGGAAACCACAGGTTTCTTCTGCAGGATGAGAATCAGCAAGAACCATAATTAAGTTTCTATCCCAAGACTGAGCCTCATCAAATACAACTGTTTTTAAACACAAACAGGAAATATATCTCGTACAAAGAGCAGCATACCATTTACACACCTAATGTGCACACATCCTAATGCCTGTCAGCAATGAGCTGACCAAAATCTTTTCTTCAACATTTAATAACTAAACCTTACTAGGGGCAGAATAGCTCTACTGCAAGCACAGAATACAATCTCTCACTCATTAGGTATTTCAGGATTTTTTGTCTTTCTCCAAGAGGGGGTAATATGTTGCCGTTGCTTAATTTAATTTTTTACAACTTTTTAAATATAAACAACAAGAATTCCAGAACCTTATAAAATTCAACTATATCCAGCTGGTTTTGCAGCCATATTTATCTCAACTACTTAATAGAGTGTTCATTTCTTCTTTTAAAAGAGGACTGACAATCAATTCTATATATTCTATTTCTAAGGGAGAGTAAATTCTAAAGATGATACAAGATTTTTGGTTTGAGTGTTTATAGAAGTGTAAGAAGAGACAGAAATACAGAGAGGGATCTACCACCTCATCTGAGCTAGTTATTAGCTGACCCAAAATTTCCAGTTAAAGGGATTATAAGACATTTTTAATGCTTTACAGCTCAGAACTGGTGAGTTTTGAAGAACCTTCACCTTTGAGAACCTTCTCAAAATGCTTTTCTGTATCAAAGCTTACTTTGCCGCACTGATTCACAAGAAATTTATTTGCCCTCTAAGAGAATTTTGCACAATTTTTGGAACCATGTCTGAAAACACAGAAACGCCATTTTTATGACCCACACAAACCCTGGCTCCCAGGCCATAACTAGAAAGAACAACCCTGCACTAACACCTTCTGAAGCAGACCAGAAGAATCTATGCTGCATAGCACATGTTTAGTTTGAATCTCAGTGCTTAGTAAGGGATGGTGTGAGACGCAGACAGAAATGCAGTCTTTGCTGTCACAAGGAGGGAAGACAAATTGTTAGCACTAGAATAAGCAAGGCTTTATTTAATATTAATTTGTTTACCTTGCCCCTATGCACAATTCTGTACTGCAATAACTTAATTCTTTTTGTCTTATTACCATACCCTAAATATTCTCTACATCCTCCTTCACCTACCCCATATGTCTCCTACCTAAGCCTTCTAGTTACCAGCTGGGGAAAAGGCAGCATGTTCAGTGGCAGGTTCCAAAATATTCGTGTGCTGTCATATCCACACTAACTGGCTTGTGACCTGCCAATAGGTCAATGTGGACTCAACTTTTAAACCTTTTTCAGGCTGAGGTCACTTGTTTGAATAATCTCTTCCTTGTCCAATTGCCAATTTCAAACTTGTAGAAATACATTTATCTTTAGGATGCTTAGCTCTCTTTCAAATTTGGTTACTAGAGGAACAGAAACTGTAAAAGAATATGAACACATAAATTTAATTTCCTTAGGAAACTGGGTTATAAAAATGAAAATCGTGAAAAGAACATACTGTCATTATTACATGATAGTGAATTCTTAAAATTATTAAGTGGTTTGAAGAGGTCCTAAGAGGAATATATGAGCCCCTGAGGCACAACAAGCAGTTTGAAGAAAGATGAAAAATAAAGAAACAGATGATAAAGGCAAGGGGAAGAGACACTGAGCTGCTGTCCTTAATCGAGCCTATGAGTGAAATGAGACAAACGATCAGGAACTCTGAGACAGGGTTCAGAAACATCTGCATTTTTTTGCCATAATTCGAATTATGTTTAGCAGGGAGATTGTTTGTTTTTATGGCTGCAATCCTCCTTTATTATGTCAATCCAGTGTGGTAACTATACGTGTGTTGACTGGCAGATAGCATGAGTATTTAGCTCTAAGAGGTATGAAATATTTTCTCAAATGCCCAGTTTATTGCCTGCAAGCATGTACTACTCAGCAGTAAGTATGTAATCAAACTGAATATTAATGTCACAATGAAGAACACACTGAAGCTCAAAAGCAGGGAGATCCCTTTTACACAGAATTTATCTCTATTCTGAACATCTGCACAATTTACAGCATGCAGAAAATTATTAGAATAGTAATAACAAAAGCAGCAACAACAAAAATAATACCCTGAACTGAAATGTTAAAGAAATGAGAGATTAGAAAGGGGATAATCAGGAAGGAGTATCAAATACAGCAGACAGATAAACTCTGCTTGAAGAAACACTCTACAATAAGTCAAGATATCTTAGAAAAAGTGCTTGGGTCGAGTGAAAAGCATGCAGTTCAAATTGTATGTGATATAAAATGAAATTGCATGTGAAGTTGTTATCAGGATGTTCAAGATACATATAGAGGATGAGAAATTTAAAGGAATGACAGCTGGAAAGAAGATCCAGGGATGCATATACAAACTAAACTATCCTTGAATGTCAAAAGGAAAAAATCTGAACGAGAATAAGAAATCACCTAGATGGATTTACTTTATATCTCATAGAACAGTAGATGGTTTGATAACCATGGCAATCTGAGTCAGGCCGTAACTGCATGGGGACCGGGTTAGCCCCGACTATTCCCAGAATTCTGCTGAAGGGAAAAGGTTTGTGTCATCTCCTCTGCTGTTTTACCAAATGGACACAAACAACTCAAAGATGTTTCATAATGTTTCATTGGAACAGTTCACAGAAATGCTTTCTTTGCCACAAGAGAAATGGCCTACAATTTCTTAAAGAGTAATTGTCTGCTGTTTATTGAATACACTAAGCAATTTACTTCCTTTGATCATCAGCGTAAACAGAAATGCTTACCTGGAGTTGGTTTTGTTTCTGCTGGGGAAGCACAGTCCTGGTGTTAAAACTGATCCTTTAATTTGTTCAAGAGCTTCTTCTAACTGAAAAGCTGATTTTGTCTGGACTACAGGGACTGCAGTAAAAAACACAATGGGAAAAATATTTTAAAAATTGGAATATTTTACCGTAAATAGTTTTGTTAGTTCTGAAGTTTGGAAGCCTAAATCCAGATTGTTAGAATAAACTGAGTGGTTTAGCATCATTAAACATGCTGGAGCATCTCTAGTTCCTCTGAAACAAAACCCCAGTCTATTTATGTGTTTACACTAACACATGTATTCAACAGTTTTGCTATTTGTTTTTAGACTGTACTGTTGAAAAAGTAGGAGGTTAAAAAATCTAGCACTAACTTTGCTTTCACATCATGCTTACTCTGCTCATGCACTAAACCAAAGTTATGGCTTGCAGATATTTTATAGAGGCCAAATTGTAACTTAATAATTGAATCAGCGGAGAAACAAAGAGTCCAGACAGGCACAAGGTGCTGCCTCTTTCAAGTATAAATAGGGTAGAAAGTGGCAGAGGCAGAATTGCTATAAAGGAAAACCAAGAAAAAAAATTGTGATTCATTATATTGCTACACAGCCTGGGCTGTCAGTAGAGTTATGAAGAAGCCCTAAGCCAGTACTGTTCTATTTTGTTATTTTAATCTGATATTTGATCCTGAAGTCAGAGACATTACCTCACAGCTGGCGCAACTGCAGTTGGGAGAGTAAATCTGTTAAAGAATACCTAAGTACTATACAATATCTTAAGAGTTTCAACACTGGAAAGTTGACTGGAAATCAGACTTGGCTGATGCTGTTAAAAACTCCTGCCAATCTGCACTGATTCCAAGAAAGCAGGAACTGAGTTGAAGTGATCACTACTTCCCAGCAGCAAGAGAACAGCTTAAAAAGCTGACTAATTCAGCAAAAGTTATGTAATACATTACCACATGCTAAGACTGCGTTTACTTAATGATAAACAGAATGCACAGTCTTGAGCATTTCATATTTGAGGGTTCAAACAGTGGATCATTATACCATCCTAGTAACATTCAGTGGCCTTGTAACACCTCATACCTACCTTTAAAGGCTCAGTATTGTAAGCAATAAGCACACTACAGTGAAAAAAGTGGGGAAAACCCAGGAAGCCACAATATCCCAAGGAGGCAATGTACTTGCTGTGAATGGAATATAATGAAATATCTCACAATACAATTTTTAGAAAAGAAATGTTGGTTTTTCAAATTCCCTCTACCCAATTTTGTCATATGTATCAGATCTGAGCTTCTTGTCAGTTAAGTTCTGCTTATATGAATTCAATTAATTTGAGTGAAGTTAATTGTTCTTCTTGTCTTGATTATATTCTATTAATGGATAAACATTTGCATTGTGAATAATGGTTAAATTTTAATTTACAAACCTATTTGCTTATGCTGAGAAAGAGGCAGGTGAGCACGTTGGAACTTATCAGTTGCTTCCTGAAGTTTAATTTTCCTCTGCTGCAGAACTTGTTCTCTAAATCTTTGTTCTTTTTCTTCCTTTTGCTTCCTTCTTTCTTCAAAGGCTCTGTATTTAAGAGGCAAAAGTAGATGATCCTTATGTTTTCTAATTACATTTACCAAACTGTAGTAACTTACTTGCTTACCAGTTTGCAATTTTAGTACAAAATCTTGCTTGTCCGTAAATTAAATGCTATAAACTTCAGCATAGCTGGATTTTTATGGCTTGTCTGCATGTAGATGGGACAGTGGGTGGCAAAGAAGAGACATACCATAATCTTTTTAATTTTTAGCCTCAATCAGAGATTTGATTCTTTCCTATACATGAATTAACGTGGAGACTTAATCAGTTCTTGTCACCAATGTGATTTCACCACAGTCTTTACGTTACCACGTAAATGTATCACAGTGGGCAGATCAATAGGAAGGTGAACTGCAGATGTTCTCTGTGTGTACCTTTCACGAGCTGTTGGGGAAATAGTTTAAAAGTTGTTATTCAGAAATAACACAAAGGAACTACAGCTTTTACCTCTAAATATGTAAGAGTTAGTATCAACTTATAGTTGTTGAGAAGCTTCCTGAAAGATAATCAGATTAGTATGGGATAAAACAGTAATGTGAAACTATGATTGACAGAATAAATTGTTAATATCAAATATGTTAAATGTGTCCTTCTACTGTCTGGAAAGCAAAGCAGGCTCTGATCAAAACCAACCATCATCATAAACCTTCCCTTTGGCAGGCACAAGCT